AATGATTCTATGATTCTATGATAACTAGCATGCCACCCGAGCCCTGTAATGCCTCTCTGTGCCTGATGATGCCAGGCTGGTGTGTGCCTCAGTGAGCAAGACCCAGGTATCTGCTGCCCTCTCAGTCCTGCAGAGGAATCCTCCTCTCAAGTTTGGTGTCAAAAATGCCTAGAAACAGAAGATAAGGACCTGAAGCACATGAGTAGAAAGTTTCAAAGGGAAACAAGAATGTAGAAATGTAGAAGGAGGTGCTTCTTAGCCCAGCTGAGCTGTAACTGAGATGCCTTGCTCAAGCAGCAGCTTAACTCCCATGGGAAGAGAGTGGATGGCATAGAGAAATGAATTAGAAGAACAAGAAGAATAGCTGAGAACAGGAAAGGGGGAGGAAGCAAAGGAAGACAGGAACGGGCTCTTTAGTTTACCAGCTGCAGATGGGCTCAAATAGGTGTGAGAAGAAATAGCATGAGAAAGAGGAGATAGTTTGGCCCTCGCTTTCACAGCATTCCTCACAAAGGGGTCCAGCAGAAGACTGAGGTTGATGCTAAAATCTGAGATGCTTCTGAACCTCAACACTTCCTTTGTTGTGAGGTGTGGCTCTTCCACAAATTCTGCATGTGTCATCCCTAGTTTTCCTTCTGAGCTGTCGGGTTGTGTGTGCTGGTGAGCGGCTGGTCCCTTTGCAGCCCCAGCCTGTTGCCGTGCGGGGGAGCGGCTGCTCCCTTGGCAGCCCCAGCCTGTTGCCGTTTCAGGGGTGGCAATGGGATGGACACACAGCTGCTGGTTGTCAGGGAGGCCCCGGTCTGGGATACTTCTTTTGACTCAAAGAATTAATAATGTAAATATTGGCCCCTTGAACAGGATCAGTCTGTTCTCCCTCTTAACCAAGATAGAAAACCAAGTGTGTGTGTGTCGGGAGGGGGTAATCCCAATGGGACTGTTCCTGTTCACAGACCCAGTCTGTTGTTCTTCTCTGCAAGTCATTATTTGTGCTGGCCTCCAGCATGTCCATGAGCAGATCAAATTGGAAATGGCTTCTATGTCTTATATTTGTGTCAAACTGCAGCTGTACTTGGACAGCTTTTTGAAGTTTTGCTGAACTCCCTCAGGAGTTAAACTGAACCTGAAATAAATACTGCTTCACGTCCCTGTTCCTGAACAGAAGTAATTTTAAAGCCTGGGTAAGAAAGCATCATTAACAAAGTACTACTTGAGCCCATAAATGATTGTTTTTCTTTGCATCCCAGCTGAGACATGATCCAATATGCAAGAAAGTCTTCAACAAGAAGCGCAAGCCCTTCAGCTCTTTGAAACAGAGACTGCAGGGAACAGAAATCACCACTGTGAAGAAGCAGCCACAAAAGGTGTAGTTAAAGTTGAAGCATGTGTGTTATCTCTACATGAAGTCTTTCATTCAGTGATGCTATTGTTTCCTCCGGGGACAAAGCCTGGATGTTGTGGATGAGTCTCACATATGTGCTTGACTTGATGCCAAATTCTTTCCTCTCCCCGCCCTGTGCTGCTAGTGTTTGAGAATATTTCTCCACTCAGAAGCCAAACCAGTAGGTGTCATGACTACTCTGGGCACGTAAGTGTCTCTACTTTTCTAGGAAATGTTCATGTATGCATTTTAACGATTATGTGAGTCTCTGACAGCTTTCTCATCACTTAAATCTGAAAGAGAGTGCGATCTGCGATGGTTTGGAGCATGAATGCCCCAGGTTGAACCTGTGACCTGTCCGTAGTCCCAAATTTTCCACAGATGAAGCTATGGCGATTCACCGCTATTGAACTCAAGGGTTTAAAAATGTATTTGAATTTAATTTGTTTACAGAGCTGAACATGAGGAGGCTTAAGCTCTTTCCGGAAGTTTTCTTTCATACATGGTTGGGGAGGAGGGGAATACACATGTACATACATGTATATAATTTTACCCAGAGATATCAAATCACTGCTGATCTGGTATCCATGCAGACTGCTCTTGTAAAATGTCCTTTAAAATCAATTGTGGAAAGAAACAGAAGTGCACAAAGGTTTGAAGCAAGAAGAAGAATCTGACAAGTGGAGGAAAAGGGAAGGTGTTGGTATCTTTTCTATTCACTTTTAAGCACCCTTTGGTCTGCCATGGCTAGCATGTTTTGTTGAAGGGCATTATTTGTTTATCCATCTTCTGGTGCTGTCAATGGTCAGCAAAGGGCTAAACTGGCTTTCCTATGCCTTTTGAAGTAGCAAGTTTATTTGTAACTTTTTTCCTTCCCTCAGAAAGGAATCCTCACTCTACGACTTTCCTCTGTCCCTTGCAAGGGAGAACTATAACTTGTATCTTCCTTTATTTCCATTACAGAAAGAGCCAGGGAAGAAATCTAACTGGAGGCAGCACCATGAGGACTTTATTAAGGCTATTCGATCAGCCAAGGAGGTCACAAAAGCTCTGAAGGAGGGCCGCCCTCTTCCGCCTCCTCCCCCACCAAGCATCAATCCAGGTTAGTGGTCTACTTTGTCTTATCACTGATCTGGTACCGATCTTTGGTAAAGCACTGACCTCTTATCAGCACCCACAGCCGGGCTTCAGTTTCGCACCCCCACAGCACAACACAACATTAGTTCCCTCCATACTCTCTAACTTTCAGCTGTATTCCTTGGCTTAAATGGAGTAGGAGCGCAATGCAGGTGGCAGGGAAGCAGAGAAAACCAACTGTACTTTGTAAGTTTAAAGGCAGCAAGTTTGGAGTCTGACATTAGACAATGCTTTGGGAGGAGAGTAGGGGAGCCCGTGTTCTAGCACAGGCTGTTCCATGGTATAACAGGGTGAAACACATCCCCTGACTGTTCAAAACCACGTCGTGCACATGAGTTGCCCCACTCCCATGTGGTGGCTTTTCCTCTGCCCCCTTCCCCACCCAGCCCTGCAGACAGGAGAAATCCTTTCAGAAAAGCCGGGTCTGATTTACTGCTAACAGCAGGTGTGGTCTCTGCACAGAACTCACTGTGTTAGAAGTTACAGATCCAAAAACATGCACATGTAGCCAGTATTTCTCATTATATGTGATATATGTGGGAGCAATCTTGGAAAGGGTCTAGGTGGAGTACTGCCTGCGTTGGAAGGCAGGGAGGGGGGGAGAAGGGGCTCTCTGGGCTTACTTCCAGAGCAGGAATTTGTGACTGATAGCAAAACCAGCTGCTGGGATTCCAGCCTTTCTCCTCTTCTAGATGACAGTGATGCTGTGTAAGCAGCAGGACACATCTTCCTTCCTTGATTGGGGTCAATCTCCTCTCAATTTCCACTGTTTAATTCTTTGACTGTTATTTCTCATCTGACTCTACTGACTCTAAGAGCAAACTCCTCCCTTTCCTTCTCCCTCTTGGAGGAAACCGGGTTGTGCAAGAGCAGAGGCAGTTGTGGAGAAAGGAACTGGAGAACTGCTTTTTAGAAAAGAAAAATTGCTGAGGGGCCTAGTGAGGATGTGTGTCCTCTGCTGTGGGACTGGAGAGAAAGCACATGGGTTATGGGGAGGAGGGAGAGATATTCCTCTTCCCTCTTTTCCTCCTCTAAATAGAGCCCAAGCCCCAAAACTCCCCATTCTCCTCTGAAGTGCCAGGTAGCCCTGCCAGCCCCCCAAAGCCAGGCATTTGCTCTGTCTCCTCCTCCTCTCCCCTGTGTTCAGAACCATTTTGCCCACGCTGCTGGTTCTCAGTGGCCCTTTAGGCCACCTTTTCTGGGCTGTTCCTGAGAGAAGCGATTTGTTAAGATGTTATATCTGTAATCTCAGGATAAGGATGCTTGGGCCACTTTTGTAAAAGATGCTGGGTGGGGAGGAACGGTCTGAGAATGGCAAAGGGCAGCACAAGGGCTGAACATGACTGTGTTGACCCCAAACACTGACCGTGCATCGAAACGAGTAGGAGTGCACCAGGGAGAGATGTCAAACAGCTTTTAGCAGAATCAGGACTATTACACTGTCAAAAAAGGCTCAAGGAAGCATCGCTGTGTGTTCTTCACACCTAGAAACCTGCCTCTTGGATGTGCCTCAGCTGATGGGGCACAACTTCTTCAGCAGTGTTTCACCAAATAGCCATCTTAGCGACCAAGCTCCAAAAGTAGTCATAAAATCATTGGTTTTGACTACTCAAGGAATTTCTAAATACCGCTTCTTTTTCAGATTTGTTAATTGTGAGGTTGGAGGGTGGCAACAGGACAAAGATAAAAAAATCTGCTTTTATTAATCCTCAAGGATTTATTTCTGAAAGCAGTTACTGGGTTTGCTCGGCTAATGCCATAAGCATGTATTTCAGGACCCAAGAGCTTTTCTAGACGTTTTTGTAGGTCTCCTAAAGTTTGTACTTTGGGAACTGATGGGAACTTGCCACAGGCCCCTGCAGGTGGAGCCTGCACAACTGCATGTTGTGTGCTTCAGTAAAGCGGGGCAATTCTTCTCCTGTAGCGTATAAACTGTGACCCAAGTTGTTCTTTCTTATGAACAGACTATATTCAGTGTCCACACTGCTCAAGAAGATTTAACGAGGCTGCAGCACAGAGGCACATCAAGTTTTGTGAAGGACAAGCTGTCCGCCGTGCCTTTGCTGCAAAGGCCAGCAGGCAGGCTTCGGTAAGCAAACACAGTGACACTTGTCTTGTCCTGGAGGCAGATTTACCAAACTGCAGTTCATGGTGTGTAAAGACCTATATTAATATAAAACCCAAGATTCTAGGGAAGTTTGTACTCTTAAGACAAGATACATGCTGAATATCAGCTAGGAGTTCCCCAAAACTGGAGCCCTTTGTCTGATACAAAAAGTGACAGAGTATGATAGTACAAAAAAGTTGGACAATTTCTTCAGACTCTACTGCGATTGGATTCCAGGGTAACAGCTCTAGGGAAGCAGAAACCTGGCAGCTTTTGGAATACATAGAGAAAGCTCTTCCTCTTCATTAGGGCTCCCTGCTGCTGGCAGGTTTGCTGTTCCCTACAAATGTATAGCTGATGTACTCCCTGGTCACCAGACACAAGGCCAAAGGGCTAAGCCTCTTTGAGGAATCGGAAAAGTGGAGCTAATTGGTAGTGTCTTGAAGTGATCTCCTATTTTATTACAGAAAAAAAAAAATAGTATGTAAACAGTTTCTTTAGGAGAGTACTGATTTTTTTTTTTTTTAAAGATGTTTGAAAATCTTACTACTTCTACCTATTTTGGGCAGGAAAAATGGCTTCCAAATGGGAGTTTCTTCCTAGAGCTGTTTCAACAGTGATTTGGAGAGTTGTCACCAGGCTCTGTAGGCTCCTTGCTAGAGCTGAGTGTGTGTTGTGCATCTTCTTTTACTAGGGCAAGCAACCAGTGGCTCAGAAAAAAAACCTAACCATAACAACTGCTGTGTTATCACTTCAGAAGAGAGTACAGGAAGGTGCCAATGCAGACAAACTTAGGCCAGGTAAGGAGTTCATTTAGCCATATTTATGTTTTTTTTACAACAAACTGTGATGTATTGGAGGTGGGGGGAGGCATCTTTAAAGCAGATCCTAGGCTTTGGAATCCAGTTTTCTGGTAGAATAATAAAGTTTGATTTTTTTTTTTTTTTTTTGGTTGCAAGTACAGGCCTTGACATGAAATCCTAAACTAATTTCCATACAACACTTGTTAGAAACAAGAAGGGCTAACAAATTCCAAGTGGGTGTTGTTGATATTGAATGGCTTTACAAGTCATTATCTGATCCGTTGTGCTGAGTGCATTAACAGAGATTTCCATGTGGGTTCTCAGGAGGAGCTTCTCAGCCTGTTCAGTTAGAGGTCCTCAAACAGAAGTGTCTATACAGACCTAAAATAGGCAGTCTGAGCGTGAGGTTCCCTCTGTCCCGTAAAGGACTCCATAACCTTTAGTCTTTGATGTTAAGATTTATTCCATCTTCTTTATCTTTTCTGAAGTGCACTTAGATGAAGCATCAAACTTTTCATGTTCTTCATTACATATGACTTTCCCCTTGTTGATTCAGCCTTAACATGACCACCACCACATCCCTAAAACAGTTCTCTCTAAGCAGGATACCATATAATGTATTTGCTAGCACCCTTCGCTGCTGGTAATCATGACCCATACTCGGTCTATGTTTAGAAGATGTTTTATAAAGTTATTTTAATGGTTATTTTAGTATAACTTGTGAATGATAATACATACTGGTCTCCGTATAAATATCTTTGATCCCTACATTTCTGGGTTTTATGTTGAATTTATGTAGGTTTTAATTTTTTACGACATATCAATTTTTTAAATAATGATCTGCAGAGACCTCTCCAGGAATACAGCTGAAAAATGGAAAATCTTTGGGTGTATCTCCTGGAAAAAAATCTTTAGGAGATTTTGGGTAAGAAACATTTTTTAATTTTGACTATATAAATCATAGAAGGATCTCATTTGCTTTTGTATATATACAATATCTTGTTGCAGTGTTTGCACTATGAACTTTTTTGTATTAATTAAAGCAATGAATTGTACTGAATTTTTGCAGATCTCATGTCCCCAGTATAGGCTGCTGAGAAGATTCATTTTGGTGTTAAATGTTCTTTGGTTTGGAGCAGCTCCATCTCAAGTAGGCAGTGAGTGTGTTCTGCCGTTAACTGATGATGCAAACCTCTCCAGCAGGTCTTGTGCTCTCAGGATGTGCTTCCATTGTCTGAGTGAGGAAGATGCCAGCATCTGTTTCAGGAATCACTGTCAGGATGACAGTGTGGAGGTTCTTCCTTCTCCTCAATGTTTACTTTCCCAGACCATGATGTTTGGTGCTTTCACTCTTTAGCCCATGCAGTTGGTGTTGTTCCCACCTCGGGCCATGCAGAGCCACGTCAGAGCAGCAGCCAGGTCTCCCAGCCCCTGCGTAAGGTGCTCGTGGTGCTGTTGTGCAAGGGGATGGCTCGCATGATCAGGATCCTGCACCCCTGCCAGATGCATATCACTGCAGAAAACAGGATCTTGGCAGGGAATGCAGCTTGTAGCTGGCAAGAATATTTTGAGCCTGGGAGATAAGCTTGTACAAGAGCTTGGAGCGTGAGATGACTGGTAATGTGCATGGAAGAGTCTATTGCAGAGACTCACATTCAAAGTCTTTGGAGGGTCCTTCTACGTGGAGTTTTGCTGTCCTTGATTGCTGCTGGTCCATGGCTAACTACTTTCAGCTGGGGGCAAGTCTGCAATGGGCATAGGAGTGTCCAGTCCACACCTCTAGCTACCTCTTTGACTTTGACAGCTACAGGAAAAACTGTTGACAGTTCCCAGTGGTCTCCTCTGTTGTTCTCCACTCCCCAGATTACCTGTGACTGTTAACAGTGTAGTAACTCTTAACGATTATAGTGCAGGGTCTTGCAGACCACCAACAGGGATTTATTGATACCATTCTCCAGGTTTAGCCACTGAACTCTGAAACTTGGGGCTTGTCAGGCTTGGAGAGGAGACACCTCTTTCCCCAGGGACACTGGTGAGCCCAAGTATTGCCAGGGCTGTAGCTGGTTTACAGAGCCCTGGGACAGGCAGGGCCTCCAGCAGGTCCCCAGGACAGACATCCACGCTAGCGTCCAAAATACAGGAGAGTGTCCTGAACACCCCTGGAAGTGTGGAAGTGACTGGCCTGGGGGAGCTTGTAGGTGCTGGGCTGTTGGCAACTGCTGCTGCAGTGTCTGTAAAACTTGAGCTTTGACAGCTGCTTTGCACTTTGGGCTAGTGAGAGATCCATTTCAGTGCTACCCAAGAGTGCTTTTTAACTGAGAAAGCAGATATGAGAAACTGGCTTTGAGTGGTGCAAATAAATGTTCTCATCCTTAATGTGCCTGGAATGGTTTCCAGGATGAACTGCTCCACCACCTTCCTAGGGATTGAGGTTTAATCTTCTTAGATAAAATGGAGTAAAACATAAAAGCTGTTTCTATACAAATAAGTATTGGCTCATTGCTGCTTTCAGACCGCAAACGCGCAACAGAAGATAGAGCGGCTGGTCGGCAAGGACGCGTAAAGGTTTTCTTCTCATGCATTATGGAAGACCTTAGGCAACACCATTTTCCAGCACCTATTCCATCAAAAGTGCTACAGCTACTGCATTCAATAAAAGAAGCAAACTGAAGTTGTCTTTTTTTTTTTTTTTTTTTTGCCTAGGCTACACTTACTATGCTGTCCTTTTTGAAGTTGTGAGATTATTTGTGTCAATTGTCAAAATTTAATTAAATGATTGCCTGTGAGGGGATGGATACTACCCGTAGTTCATTCAATGGTTTTAACAAAATGTAAGACGATCCACTATCATGTGATTTTTTTTTAAAAAATTTTTTTTACCCCCTTAATGCTTTGCTTTGATATATTGAACACGACAAATGAACATTTTGGAATTTTCATGTATATGTTTAATAGAATCTTCCAGTAAACATTAAATGATAAATGACAGTGATTGGTAAGTGATAAATGGCCACATATGCTGTGCACCAGCTTCAAAGCACTTCAGGTTCAGAATAACTAAAACCAAATCTCATTCTTGCATTAAAAACTTCAATTGCTTTAGGAATTGATCAATAAAACAGAAATGGTGTGGAGGCATATCACTTCTTAATTTTTTGGCCATCTGATCTATTGCTAGCCTTGGATAACCTTGCATAAACTTTCAGTGTTGCAACATGTTGGGGTTTTTTTTGTTGTGTTTTTTTTTTTAGCCCAACAATTTCCAACAAGGCTTCATCCGGAATTTCTTGCCTATTAAATGTTTATAAGGTAAGTGAAGATGAAAAGTAGTTGGACACAGCAATAATAAATACCAGACTTTACAGAGTTTAATTAAACTCTACTTAGGCTCTAGCTAATGATGATTAGATAAATACAGAAAGGATGGACACTGAAGCAAGTATAACTCCTAGAGCTAGACTTAGCAACAGTGGGCATGAAGTTAGCCCAAATATATTAAAGCAGTGCTGCTTGCCTTTTTTTCAATCCAGGAAGGAGAAGGAAAAAAACCCCATACCAAACTATCCAGTGCAATGTTATCACAGTTGCATTCTTTTACAACCAAATACAGGAATCCTTAAAAGTTAGAGGAAGTTTTACTCTATTTGTTGTTCTCCCCCCTCTTATTTTTTGTCTGTGTGTGAAAGTGTTTGATTTCACAGATCACTCTCCAGTGTCTTACAGAAAATATAATTATAGGGGCAGAAATGGTGTATGGAAGAATAGTACTAAAATCTGCTCACAGGAAATTAATCAATCATTAATACATGGAACGTACCATCCAATTTCAGCCTGGCTGTGAAAAACTCTGGAATTAACAGCAACTCACTGGTTGAGAAAATGGAGAGTCCCAACAGGAGCAGTGGGTAAATAAAACTGAAAGAAAAAAAAATTACCATGGTTTCTGATAGAGGATGGGAACCAAGTACTATAAATACTGGTGTTTACATAGAGGATGCAGAGTCTTTTTTTTTTTCCATGTAGTATAATTTTAGCTCTTTAACATTATTTCAGCAGGTTTACATGGCTTCCTTTTTTTTTTTAAATTAGCACATTTTTTGTATGAAACAAAATGTTTACTAAGTTTCACTATTTTTCAGTATCATTTGATTATAGTAATTCTATTGTTCAGCTGCCACATATTGTTCTGCTTCTACAGATTTGCAAGCACAGTTCAGATAAAAAGAGCATTTTTTTTAATGTTTATTAGGATGTGAAGTAAAATATCCCAACATCTCCCTGAGGGTCAGAACTTTCTGTTCCATTTCTTAGTTGCTATGCCGTGGTCTATCTGACCTTCCCCATGGCAGCTCTCTGCCCTTGAATCGTCCTCTCCCATTTGGAGGAGGAAAGGGCTGTGTCAGAGGGGAGGGAGGACCAGCCACTGGTTGCGCTGCCTTCTTCCTCCACCGTACCCCTGGCATGCGTGGGGCCACCTCTCCACACACTGATGCTGCCGCAGTCCTGCCTGAGCCAAAGGCAGTGCCACCAGACAGATGCCCTGCAGCTTTTGCTACCTTCTCCACTGTCACTGCCTGAAGTCATGCCTGCCCGCCCACTGCAGCCCTGTCCTCTCAGACACCACAGGTAAGCCCAGGGAGAGCTGGTGAGGACTCCCTGTTATCTCCACACCTCTCCTTTATCACTACCTTGCCTCTGATCTTACCTCCTCTTTCAGCAATGCAATGTTCAGGCCCACACGAGGCAGGTCTACTGAGCCCAAATGAATTTGTTTGCCCAGAAACAAAGCATTCTTGAGCCTCAGATACTGCTGGATTCTCAAAAATGCACACAGAAGTCCCTCTAACAAAACTTGTGAGAAAGTCCAGCTCTACTTGAAATATCAGATGGCTTGGGGGGGGTATCTCCTGAATTGTGAGAATTTTAAAACAAAACCATTTTTCTGCAAACATAAAGTTCTGAAATAGCTTGCCTTCCTTTGTGATGGGACATCATCAGCTTCCTCTACATTTATGATGTCAAGAATCTGGAAAAAGACATTTGAAGGGACTGAAGGGTTAAAGCTCCAGTTTTCTGCAATCTAAGGTTTGTTTCTATGTTTTACTTGTAGATACCATCATCGTGTGCTTTTTAAGCATTTTAATATCAAAAGTGGTTATTTTCTTTTTACTTGAATGAGACTTGGTCTTTAACCCATAGTTACATATGGTAAGTGTCTCCTAGTAACGCACTTCTTTCCACATTTCAGAAGAGGCTGAGGTCAGGCAGCAGCACCTCTCCTGTCAGCTCAGAGGTGAGGCACCCTGCTACAGACGAGCAGCTGAAAGAACGTAGGCACCAGTCTGGCTCAGTGTTTGCATCACCTTTCCTTCTTAACATCATGTTTTAATTCAAAGACAAGTAATTCAGTAATTAGTTACACCTCTTATAGAAGCACAAACCAAAATGACAAAATGTCTATTAACAGTATATGATCAGGCAGTGCTACAAAATTTGTGTGTTGGTGTTTGTTTTTTTTACAAGTACATAAGCTTGAATGAGGCCAAGTGAATACAATTTGCATGAACGAGGAAAACAACGCAGTAAGTGAATATACACACACCTTTCCAAGTCTGGATGAAAATGAGAGCCTAGCTCAATCAAGCTGTTGACCCAATGGGATAACATATGCTTAAATTTAAACAAATGCTTAAGTGCCTTATTAGAGCGAGAGAGAGAGAGACCAGCTTCTAATATCTAATATTGCCAGATCCACCTCTAAGTGAAAATTCATGTTTTGCTCTAGCCTTTGAGACAATTCACTTCCCATTCTGAAAACTGCACACATACTTCATGCAGAAGTGGTAGTTATTTCCAGCCCTAGGAAAAAGTGCAGGAGATGCACACAGCTGAAGTTCGCTTCAGAAAACAAAATCTAGTTAAATGTACTCACAATAGTGATCTTCTTCATTTAAAAAGTGAAACAAGGAGGTAAGTTACTCTTGGAATGATTCTGATTTAAATTAAAGATTCACACAGTTCAGTAATTAAGTGCTTAACAGAAATCTATGTGATGTTGATAAATCATTTGTTACATTTGCTATGTGTATACATTTGCTGTGATTTGTGGCTCATTAAAATTATTTTTCTTTGATTTGCCCCTTCTTCCCCTTTACCCTAATCCTATTTCTCCTACCACACCAGCCTCAGTTTTATTGTGCCTGTTGTGATGCTTTGCTTTTATTGAAAATATTTATTCAGTTGTTTGCATGAAATAAACAAAAATATAGAGTGTTGAGGGAAATATGTTAGTTCTACTGTTGTCATATGCTAAAAAAACTAATAGTAGTAGGAAAAATAGAGCTTCTTGTTTATTAACATCCTGAATTTAACTACCAGATTCATAACATGTTTTGAAAACATTTGGGGCAGTTTCTCTTAAAAACAAAACAAAACCAAAACCACCTAATCCTAACAGATTTAAGTAAGAAGCACAGTCTTAAAAAAAGAAAGAAAAAAAAACCCAAACCCACAGTGAAGTTATTTGAAGGCATGGTGAAAATGAGGCAACGTTACAGAATTTGTAGTGGATGGAAAGGAGCGAGGAAGATGGTGCAGCTGGTTTATGGCCATGCCACCACTTGCTAGCTGAAGACCTTGCTGTTGGCCAAGGCCATTCAGCCTGTGTGATGGTTCCTCTGGACCAAATGCCATTGTGATGTCCCCAGTAGCGTTCTGGTTGTCACCTAGGGGGAGCTGCCAGAAACTCATCACATGAGTGAGATCCATGAAAGGCAGGCTTGTAGTTTCAGCTACTGCCTCGGTCTCCTTGTGCACTGGGTACTTGTTAGTATCCCCTACAGGCCCTGAGGAAGCTTCTTCCAGACTGATTTTGTGGAGAGACTGAGGTTCTGGTAACAGCAGGTCCTCAAGAAGATGCACATTGTAACCTTTAACATCCACTTTTATCGGTAGGTTCTTGAGGGATCCTGCTGCAAATGAGGTAGAACTAAGGTCATATTTATTAGGCTGATGAAGGTTCAGGTTGGCAGGAACAGCTGTTGAGCATGATGTGGGATGGACACCTGGAAGGCTGTCTGCAGAGCCCATTCTTTGCAAATGAGGAGAAGGTTCAAGAGGAAGAGCAGTTTGTAAGCTTGTCTGGGAATGAAGATGTGGACAGTTGTATTCCTCTGATTCTGAACTATTCAAAATCCCATTCTGCACAGAGACCCTTTCAGGAAAAGGGGACATTATGCTGGCATCTTCCTTCAGTCTGAATGGAAAAAGCTGGTCAAGGAGACCCACTGAGTCACCGTTCTGCAACCTGCTTTTCAACAGTTCTTGGGGATGAGTCTTCCTAGTATGGCGAGTCAAATGGTCCTTCCGCCCAAACCTCTGGGCACAAAACTGGCATAGAAAGTCTTTGCAGCCTGTGTGAACTACCATGTGACGCCGTACATCTTTACGGGTATAGAAGTGACGCTCACAGTGGTCACACTTGTGTTTCTTTTCCTTCATATTGCCAGTTGGTTTCCCTGCGTGGCTTTTGAGGTGTTCCAACAAAACTTCAGTGCCACCAAACTCCTGGGCACATACCCTGCAGGTAAGGTCCCCGCTGGTGGCTGCATGAAGAGCCAAGTGTCTCTTATAGCCTAGCTTGGTGTTGTACTTCTTGCCACACTCTTCACACTTGAAGGCCATCTTGTTAGGGTCATGAGTCTGAAGGTGATTCTTTAGATGGTCTTTCCTGTGAAAGGTCTTTTCACAGTAGCCACACTGGTGAGACTTCTGTGGCGAATGAGTGGCTGAGTGCCTACAACAAAAAACAAAACCAAGTTATTTGTGTTTACATTTACTCTAGCACATCTACTCTTGCAGCTTCAAGACTTGAAAACACTGGCACTCTTGAAGGAAGGTATTTTCACAAGTTCTCATAGTATTAGTACCAGCCTAACTTTTTTTTGGGGGGATAAGGTGTTAATTATAAAGCCAGAGTAGGTTACAACTGCTCAACATAATCTCTTTGAGTAGCCACTACAATTGAGGGAGACTACCCTCAATTCTACCAAAACAGGAATAATAAAAACTGGAACTCAGGGACTAACTAACTGTCACTAGGACAACCCAAAGGAAACAGATGTCTTTCTTTTTCCACACACACCCACCAGAAAAGGAGTGCCTTCAGAGCTGTACCTGAGCAGTTTATATTTGGAAATGAAGGCTTTTGTGCATCCGTGTTGTGAACACTTGTAGGGGCGCTCCCCTTTGTGCACGTAAGTGTGGACTGTGAGCTTGTCAATGGAATCAAACGTCTTCCCACAGAGTCGGCAAGGGTAACTGTCTGGCTGCTTCACTTCTCTTCTCTTCAACAGTGAAGACCGGCCATTTCTCCATTTAGGTATAAACCTCACAAGAGCATCACAAGTGCTTCCTGAGCCAGCACAGCTAAGCTTTGCAGCAGAAGAACAAGAAATGGTCCCGAAGCACTGAGCAATGCCTTTGCCTAACGCTGCTCCTCTCAGTTTCCCTTTGAGTTTGCTTTTTGTTTTTATGGGTCCCAATTTATTTGACGGTCTGAACCTCGTGGTAAGGACTCGGTCTTTATGAATGCACTGGTGAGATTCCAGCAAAGCAAAAGTTGCAAAAGTGCTTCTACAGCTGGAGCATATCCAAGCGTCTATGGGCTCTTTCTGCAATGAGAACAGAAACAGGTCTTTCTTATTAGCCATTCTAAGGAAAGGTCATATTCTTTTCACTGACCCTACATCTTCTGGACTCTCCCAAGACCTGTTGTTGTCCCTGGTGATAGTTACTTCAATATACAACCACACAGCTGTTCAACTGGAAATGGATTATCTCTAGGAGTCTACATATTTGAAGGGAAAAAAAAAAAGGTTGGCTAAATACTGATTTCCATGTTTTTGTTTAGCATTCACTGTAACGGACCTGAGCCATTCACCTTTGTTTTTCTGTGCTTACTGCATTTCTCTACATTTGTTCCTTTTATGGAATTACTCATAAAAGCAGTTGCAAATCGTACTTTATCCCTAGCCTGACATAACTTATCTGGTCTTGCAACCATACAAATACTGGGTGGGTTTCTGCACACAAATGTAGTTTAGCCATACAGGATTTCCCTAAGTCTTGGGCTGACTCCATGCTTTAACAGATACCAGTGGTCAATGCCTCCAGGAGAGACCTCCTCACTTGGCTTGACATTTGGCATTAGACATTCTTAAGCTTGATAAGAAACACCTCAGGTTTGGGGATGTCAAGCCTATCCTGACTTAGTGGTATTAAAACTTTTTTTTTTGGCAAGTAATGCATTATTTGGAAGTATTCTTTCTGTGGAAATAAGATCTCTTCTGGATTCAGTTGAACTAACTTTGACGTTCTAAAAATTCAGTTGAACTAATATTGACGTTCTAAAAATTCCAATGAAAAACAATTACAAAAAAACCCCCAGCAACTGATGAAATGTACTTCCAATTAATACACAACCATGTACCTCCTTAGCTGCCGCTACGTTTTATGTAAGCTGCTCATAAACTGTCCTTTCTTTCCATTGTTCTTGGGCTAACTTGCTCTGGAGAGCATGGTGAGGCTATGTTCACTGTCTTTATTTGCAGACTGAGCCCTCCTCTCTCTTATCCATGTCTGATGCTGTGGCTCTCCCACACCTTCTTTCTGAGGTGTACTCTGAAGACCTCACATGCAGAAGCACCAACAGGCTTACTTCCCTTCCTGGAGCTCCTCTGAATTCCCGATTCATTCGTATTCTCTGTTTAATGCTTTCTTCTAGCTTAGGCATCGATCAAGCTACGTTTTCACCACATAACAAACTTTTCCTATCAGTTTAAGGATTCCTACTATCATACAGAGGGGAAGGTACTGGAATTAGAAGAGAAGGGTTATTGCACAGGAAAGACTGCAATAATCAGTGCTTTATCTGACCAACCAGTCAGAGCAGAACAATAGGAAACTGGTGAAATAAATCTGAGGCTGGACAGCTTGGTTATCTACAAATTAATGCCAATCTTAAGTCTTTCCAACACATTCCACTGGTGCCACTTATTTCTGACTACAGATAATGGCTCAATTGGATTGCAAACACAGGAGAGGAAGAGCAGCCTTCTTGTCCGAGTAGCTGTTTGGTTAAAATTGCTCTTGGCTTTGTGTTAGCCAACTACTCTACAGTCTACCCTAGCATTACCAGTCTTACATGAACAGAGAAAGCATGTAAATAAACTGCAGTTTACTATGGCTGGTGATGGCCTGAATGCAGATGAGGGGTACTCACTGCTACTGGAGGCAAAGGACAGACATCAGATTCTTCTTTAATGAAGACTGCAGAAGCTTCCATAAATTTGGCATAATCGGCAGCATACCATACTTTCAGTTCTGTGTGGGGTTCAATTGGCTGTGAATGGAAGAAATTAGCACATGTTTACTTGTGTCAATTTTCTTATACCAAATAATACTGAAGACTGGAGGGCAGTGTATGTGCAATTTGTTGTCCTTACCCAAGCTGCATTGTTTAAATCTGTTTAAATTAGTGGTAACCTAGTTTTAAGATTCAAACACTTTCTGAGCATTATTATCCATTAGGGTTTGAGTCTTTCAAAGTTTCTAAAAGCAGAAATGCGTATGTTCAGAGATTTTTGGGGGGCAGTAGCACGAGAGGTGCCACAGCCCTCATGACCTTTGCTCAGTGAGATGTATTTGTCTGTGATGTCCGGACATCCAGCAGTCTTTCCAAGCAATATCCCAAGCCCATTCCTTGATGTTTCGAAGCCCACTGGATGCAACACTTAACTATAGGGTACAGGCAAAGGAAAAATGCATCATGAATGCACAGCAGCTTGGATGCCTCCTGGCTATGTCACACTCACTGAGCACAGATGCAGAGTTCATGAATATGTGGACTGCAAGTCAAATTTGCCTGTTTCTGTGCGCTGGCTCTCATGCATCAGGCTCACTATTCATGTGCTTTATTGTACCTCTGCCCTCCTTTCACTGAAGTCTTCCCACAAAGGGCTAAGGGGGCCCATAATCTGCAGTCTCCCATCCAGTAATGCCTGCTCAAATCTTTCCTTGGACTGGACTATGACCTCCTCTGACAAATACTTTCAGTCAATAATAAAGCAAATAGAAAAAGAGAGGAGTGATTACACTCACTGGCTGAAGTTTTGTTAGTTATTTAAAAGCAAAGGAGAAAACTAGCTTTGGGGTCATGATTTATATGACTCCCTGGCCCTGTACGCAATTTTCTTCACCTATAATAAAAAACAACATTGGTGTAACAGGAGAAGAGCTAATCTGCACTGTACTTGTAGTTTTATTTTAACTAAGCTAAACTTGTGCCACAGAGAAAGACAAAATAGCCTGAAAGGAGAGCAGCTGAGTCTTATTCCACAAAATGCGACATCTTAAAATGCACTTATTTTATAACATCGGTGTTGGAGAAGCATGGTAGGTGAAAGACAACTTAGAATGTGAATGCTGACAGGTGACAGGCAATTGTGCATAATGTCAAAAACTGAACTTTTGAACTCTCAAGCACAAGTCCGCTTGCTAACTACAACCAGTATGGGTTGGTTGTATGTTTTGATAACACCTGGCCTAAACAGAAAAGGTATGTGCTGAGTTCTCCACTCAATAAAGAACCTGAGGCAGAGCCACCAACTAGGAGGCCAACCATGCATTGTCCTCCTGCATGTAGTCTATGTAGATGGATAAAACCAAGCCCGAGGGAGCTCCACAGAGTCAAATGCCTGGTGATGCCCCAGGACCTTGGCCAGTGACAGCTGAGACTGGTACCCACAAGGAGCTGCACAGCATGATGCTGTCGTGCTTTCTGCTCACAGCAATCTCCTCTGTGGGAAGCTGAGACTTAAGTCAATGTGACTTTGGAGGGAGAGCCAGGGACTATCAATGTGTGAGATAGTCAAGTAAGGTAAAAGCTTTAGCCTCAATAAAACGGAGATTAAACACCACTATCCAAATACACTACAAGTTGTCATTTAACTCTGTCTCGCCCGTGACAGTAAGAGATAGCTATGGCAGCACCCACGTAAAAGTCTCTTGTGATGAGACAGACAGCAGCCGTGGATGATTTTTACTTCCTCACAATTCTATACTTTTTAAAAGCACTTACTTCTAGGGACTGCAGTCATTAGGTCGGTGTTCTGGTTTCAGCTGGGACAGACAGTCAAGTACACTAACAGTGCTGTTACTGTGCCACTTACATGTATGCTTTTTTAGCTGCAGTTTCATGCCACCAAAATCCCATCTCTTCATAAAAACAGCCGGGAGAGGAGCCAATCCTTCTACTCCCAACTAAACAGACTTTATTAAAAATATATTGAGAAAATATCTTCAAAACCAGCTCTAAGGCAGCCTCACGCCGTGACCAGCAGAGTGTGCCTAACTGTAGCAAAAGGCTATCACTTTCGCTGACCAAGACAAAGTCTTAGGATAAATAAAACCGAAGTAATTCCCTATGACACACAGCACAGTAAAGGTTCCAAGACACACTCCTCATCCTAAGATACTCTTCATGTCAGTACATAGGATACAACTCTCCATTAACGCCAATGAGCAGAGTTCTGCTCAAGTCAGCAGAGAGCTGGTTCAATTTATTGGTTCAGTATTTAAATTATACTGGAAACTGTAAGTTACCAGTTCATAGCTTCTTAGAAAAGCATTTGTTCATGCTTCCCAAATATAGTATTATTAATCCTGTCAGTTCTACAAGTATAGAATCCATTTAAAATCAAACTGAAATCTTAAATGGTATGGACTGCATCAGAATCTCAAACACGGCATAAACAATGTCTCAGACTAGCATATACTGGTTTACATTGATTTTCTTTTTTAAAAATAATTATTTTTCTATTAATCCAAAAGCAACTATACTTCATACTGTTTGACTTTGAAGGTGTAAATGTTATCATTATTAACTTACTCTCATATCACCACTGTGTCGTAAATATTTTTCTCACTGCATGTGGAGAAACAAAAATGGAGTAACAAAAGTAAACACTACTATCCCACAGAAATGCATGCCAATCTTGGAAATGAAAATGAAATGCTGGATTTTAAACCCACAGTAACTTCTTTTGACTAATATTGGCTATTTTTAATGTTGCTCATAATGATATACAAGCACTAACTTAAGAATAAAAATGGAAACTAATGAATGTTCAACATATAGACTTCAGTTTCCTAAGTGTACAAAATAGTAAATTCTGATTAAAACAAACTTAGCCTGGGAAAGTAGCAAAAACAACAAATACCAAGAATGTATGTTCCAGTGTCATTTATAAATACAGAGTACTTTGTTCTCTCTCCTTGGACAAAGACGCAGTCCAAAATCTCTAACATAAACTGATCATTTCATGGCAACATTGCAGTATTGTAAGTTCTGCAGTTAAGTGATCAGATTTAATGAGTCTGGAAAAGAGTACGTAAAGATTCTACTTAGCACTCTGTTCCTGAGCACCTGGTAATGTGCTCAGAATACAACGTGTGTCCAAAAAGGCAGTAACGGAAAGGAATGTGTTTGTTCTTTCCAGGATGAAGTACTGTTGAATGTAATAAAGCTAGATAATCTCACCATGTACCTATCTGGAACCAAAGAACTTCACAACCTTCACGGTTAAACACTGCCATCATGAATATTTCTGTTTCCCTCTGCTCAGTTTCTTCACTACCCACAACAGCAAGCACACACCAACTTTTACTAGAAGACCTCATACACTGCTTGCTTTACTACGGATTAAGTGATATAAAAGGTAGTATGTAATAAAGATCCAGTTGGCAGAATATAATCAATCTTTCATCTGTAAAAGGGTTAGCCTTTCAGAACTTTTGCCTATAAATGTCCATTTGGATTATGGGTGAAACAATGGGAGTTTAACAACCTTAACAGTTGTGAAGTAGACTTCTCCACAGTGCTGATAAGCCACAAGGGTCTGTTCTTCTTGGTTCCGGGCTAGCCGGACAAACATCATCCAGTTTCCACAGTCTTCATTGGGAGTGTCCAGAAAGTACTTCCCTCCATCTTTCAATACCTGAAACAAGGGGAAGGACATGAGAAAGAACATGATAAAACCAAGTCCTCTATAGAGGCACATTAGTTTTCTTTAACTTGGAATCACGGCTATCAGTTATTTACCCTGTCTTGGTCATACATCCTTTGAAATCATGGTTGTTTTGAAATAGATCACTCTTAAAAGAGTATCGAGTGCAAAAGAAAGTGAAGAATGAATACCGGCTGAGCACCCAGCTACTAAAATAACTGTAGGCCTTTGTATGTATTTCCAGTTTATATTTCATCATTTTTATGTTATATAAAGATAATATGACAAGAACTTAGTGCAGGCAGGTAGAAAGATAAGTTTTATGCCTTAATGTACTTCCTGAGTACTTGATAATCTCAAACTTTAGTGCTCTATTAATGCTACTTTTTGCATGGAACAATTGTATAACTTGTGTAATAAGTCCTGAGAGGTAACATACTATATAATGGCATTTTAACAGTCTTCTCTTTTTCCCCTTAACAATGCAAAAGTAAATACAAATGAACAATTGTGCCAGAAAGATCTCTCTCTTTTTGCTTTACTTCATCCTCTCTAGATTCCCTTCCAAGAGAATGCCTCTACCAGGCAAAAGCTTCCGACCTTGTACAAGACAGTTACTTTTTTGCAATATAGTCTTTAACATGGAGAGCTGAAGCTGCACAACAGATGTCAGCACAGCATGTATCTGTTCTACTAACCATGTAACTGAGCAGTTAATTGCAAAACATTGAAATTGCACTTCCTTTGCTTCTGAAAACTATTTTATATAATTTTGTCATGTTTCTGATGAAAACACCTGCCTGTTGGCCAAGTTTGGTCACATACTCAGAATGCTGCTAGGGAGAAGTCAAGGCAGCTACTGCTGTCCTGCAGGTAAACTAGGACTCTAGTCTCCTGAAGAAACAGTCCATTCAACAGCCAGAGTTGTGCTTATCACTGTATACTTTTAAGCAAACAGGGCTGACTGACAGAGGATAGGGTGTGGTTTACAATGGCTTGGTGAAGAGGAAGGAACTGGGTGCTAAGCTCATCTATGCTGGCAACCTTGTTAGAGAAGTATGTTTTCTGCATTTGCAAGAATTAAAGCGCCTCATAAGAAGATGAAAGAAATTTAGTTATGGAGGAGAACAAATGCTCTCTGGTGTCAACACGCCATGAAAATCCCACAGAAGGACAGTGTTACTTTCCTGGCAGACCGTTCACGTGACTTCCACAAGCAAATGAAGTTTACAGCAATTACTGAAGCTATTACTTTTGCTCTCAAATAAAATTACAGAAATATCTGTACCTATGCCTTCCTCCACAACACACAGTGTCTTCCAGTGCCAAGCTTCTGGTGAAAGCTCAAATGAAGACATAAAGCACGTCACAGGACAGCTGCTGCTGGTTCCTCTCTCCTTGGGGCTGAGAGGGCCTGGTATGAAATGCAGGCTCTGGAAGAACTGTGACGTGTTGGGAAGTCCTGACAGAGGCTGTGGCTTGACTTGGACTCGCTGTATGGCAGAAAACTGTGCTCAGGCATCACCCCATGCAGCAAAATGCAAAGACTGGGGCATACAGGACTACCATCAACTATCACTCCCAAGGAATTCCTGTGGGAAAGCATGTGCATGTAGATATGCCTAAGCTAGGCTAGTCCTGAGAGGCCACTATTTGTGCTGGATAAAGCACAAACAATAGTGTCATGGTCCAGGTGAGATGATCGGTATCTGTGCATGCAGCAAGGGATGGTACCAGCCCTAAGTAACAATCTGACTAAATAAACTGAGTTAGTGTACTGTGTCTCAAAATTTATATATAATTACATCATTAAAAGTGTTTCCCCATCCCTGCACTGTTCCTCCCTACTAAACAGGTGCCTTAGCGGATATTTCTGCCACTATTGCTACCTCAGTGCACAAATTTAACCCTCCCAGTGGCATGGTGTTAAGTGCAAATCCTTTTGTTTTATCTGGGAAGACTACCATCTGAGGACACTTCCGTCAGCCATGCTCTATGAAAAGTTTATCAAGAGCTGTTACACTGACGGGTAACCTACTCCAGAAGCGGTAAAACTAGAAAGCAGGAAGACAAATTTGTCGAAAACAGAACATACAGGAACATTTTTGGTACTTCAGGTTATGCTGAGCTGTCTAATAACGTGAGTTACATTCAGACATACAGATCAGAAGTAGAATTAATTAACAAGATCAGACAGCAAACTGACTGGTTAAAATACATAAATACATATGAACTGTTAAAGACACGTATGCACTTCATAGTAAGTCAGGGGGCTTTTACCTGCAGGACTAGCCTGCTCTCATCATAGCGGGTCAATTTTGTAGACAGTTGACCAACATAAGGACCAAACTGTGTTCTCTTCTGTATTACTTTCTTTGCAAATACTCCAAGGACTGTGAATAAAAAAAGACCAGTCTAATATTAATATAGACACCACAAACTATTTCTTGTATATTTACTGTTGTGAAAATGGAAATAAAACACAATAGTGCAGAGCACATGAATTCTTCTTCTAGACAAATAACCCACATAAATAATTCTAACAGGAAGAATCTAAAAAGTATGTAAATATGTACTGAGATTTTGTTAAAGTGGCTATTACATTGAAAACAAAAGTGCCTAAAATCCATGACAGGAGATTAGACTGAGTATGCAACACAAATGTGTTTATACTCTTCAATCTACAAGCTGATGCTATCAGATTGCTCTGCTTGTTGGCATAATTTACAAGACTGAGTTTGCAAAGGGTGGATGAGGGATGTTATTTACCATTTTGTTTCTAACCTCTTACAGAATACTCTTTCCTGTTTTGCATGCTTGGGGAAAAGAAACGGATATGTAATAGTGCATGGCTGTTACTATTAGATACAAATTCAACATTCATTAAACTTGTATTAACCAAACAGAGCTAACTGCTCACAGTTAAAGGTCACACCAGCTCTGGCTAATGTCCTGCCATCAGTCGACGTTTCAAAGTTATTAGAAATCAGTCATAAAAAACAGTAGCTGAATGTGAGCTTTAGCTCTACTCAGCTGAAAATAGTCTTCATCCTGTTAATACCCAATGATTATGCCTTGAGTTATTCAGGAAAACAAGACAGTGTTAGCACTTTCCCCTCCTCTTTCTCAAATGGGGGAAAAAGAGCTAGAATACTTACTCTGCTGGTTTCCAGCTCGCAGCTCCAACACTCGCAAAGTGAGGTAATGAGGTAGGGTGAGACGGGCTCGGCTAGGAATAACTCTATCTTTAGCCCTGATGAGTGGTCCGTGGAGTCTGCATTCTCCTATAAGGCTTTTACCACAATCCTCACACCCTACAAATCCAGAAAAGGGAACCTGTTACTAAAAATGACATACTGCTCTCCAATTTAGTCTCTTCTAATTTTGTCACCTTAAGAACACATCTTGAACTACCAATGCTTTTCTTCACACCACTGTTCTACATTAGGTAGTGAAAAACTGAACTAGGAAGGTCTGAAAGAGGACCTCCAGTTTGTGCATTCTCTCATGTGTGAATTGGTGGGTCCTGACCTCCAAAGATTTATACGCATGTTCATTTGGAGGTAAACCGTGCCTTTGAAGATTAGGATAGCAGCAAAACTGGAGCTTGCGGCATGAACTCCTACAAATCAAGCTGCATACATTTATATAGACATGAGAAGGGCAAAGCTGCTAGTAATAACCGTGATAATTTGCAGAGATTCAAGGAGTCCAAGAAAGATCACTGTGACTTTGTGAGCCTGCACAGACCATTCTCAGTAGAAGACAAGACCCTCGGTTTCCATGAAAAATGAGTACAATGGGTCTTCACAGTTACAACTCAGTTGACAATCACGCAAGCGCAGCCTTCTCATAGACCGTGCTGCCTGTGCAAGTAAGCAAAAGGGGCACACTGTATCTCCCAGCCATCGGCTCACACTAATGACATCTGCAGGCTGAACACATGAACCATCCAGAGAAGTCATTAATGAAAAAGTCAGTCTGCAAACTGACTTTCCCCCAGCACAGTGAGATATTTTTGGTTCATCTCAAACTGGTTGCCAGGGAAACTCATATGGAGCAGCAACACAACTGAGCAGTGAGAGTCTCCAGCAGAAGGTCATCCCAGCACTGGTGTCACACAGGGCGATGGGAAAAAGGGGACTTCTTGCACAAAGCCTTTTTATAGACAGTAGAAACCAGACCAGCGAGCCAACAATGCTTTGCGACTGAGTTAAAAGGAAAAGCTGACATTGGTCATCCATGACTACGTTGGTTTGTTTTACTTCTGAAAACTATGCTAAGCAAGTCTATTCAGTAAGCAACAGTAAGGAGCAGAGGAGCAGAGCCAGGACAGCCAAGAGAGTCCAAAGGAGCCATGGGACACCGTAGCAGAGACTGTGGCAGGAGAGGTGAGGCTTCACCACGGACAGGGGCTCGTAGCCAGAGAGGTCAAGAGAAGTGTTAAAGGCTCAGGAGGCACCATCTGGAGAGACATTGGAGATGGTCTTTGAGGAAGGGCAGTAGCACCATAAATGCCATACTCAGAGGCTCAGGAGGCACCATCTGGAGAGACATCGGAGATGGTCTTTGAGGAAGGACAGTAGCACCATAAATGCCATACTCAGTGATTCTGTGGGAGCTCAAAAAGGTTTCGGTTTGTAAACACAAGTAGGCACCTGACTAAACTACACGCCTCAAGAGTCTAGTCCAAGATCTCCTCAAATAAGCCTGAAGTGTTCCTACTGAGTTCTTTGGGCTCTCCATCAATTCTAAATGACAAGGAAGGCTTGCGTGTGGGTCAGGCTGCAGGCACTGCAGTACTCCATATTTTTCAATAATTTGCAGACCATGTAATAGTTTTCTTTTGCCATGGCTCCCAAACTGCACACCTGCACTATGAATAGCCACAATACATGATTTTTTTTTTTGCTAGTGCTACAGATAGAGAACATGCCATTCTACAGCCATCACTTAAGATGCACAAAAAATAAATAATATAGCTGCAAGGCAGATTGGCAGATTTTTCTTCTTACACAGTGGTTTATGTACCTGAAAGTCCTTTACAGCTAGGCTGCAAGAAAAACCAAAAAAATTTCTTGGTGATTTAACTTAATTGGCTTTTAAAAAACTTGCCAACAACTTTGTCTTCTGAGGGCAACAAAACTGAGGGCTTCCTGAGCCTACCTAGAATAATAGTGACTTTGTCTCAAGTCAAACAGCTCCTGCCTGGAGAGTCGTTGTACGCAAACTGCTGAAAAACATTACCAAAAGCAAAATGGAGACAAAGAACCGCTGTTCGAGGGAGGATGTATCTAATCATAAAGTACACGACCTTATCAATCCGTGCCATGCCTCTGTGATTCATCACTACCAGCTCCTGAGCAAACTTTCCAGCTGCCCCGGGGCTGTGCCCACCACAGAGGCTCCAGAGCGGGCAGCTCATGGGAAGGCTGGAACAGGAAAGCAGGGAAGCAGTCTCCCTTGAATTGGCCTCCAAATTCGGCACTAGCACCCCATTAGCTAACCCCCCTCGGACCTCTGGATCCAAGGTGCAAGGTCTGACACAAGTCATGTGGTATGGGTGCTGGCAAAGCACTTCTCCAAAATCAGGGACCGTTTTGTATCCAAATGAGTGCTGAGCACGCCACTGAGCTTAGCGGCCCCAGAGACAGCTCTGCAGGATGCACACCCAGCCTCCACCACCAAGCTGTCAGCTCGCACTGAAGTAACCAGCGGCAGAGCTGGCTGTGGTTTTTAAGCACCTTGTTAACACAGCTTGGGATTCTGACCTGGCAACACTGCACGGTACCTTGAAATACACGGAGCATCCAAGGCTTGTTCTAGGATTTTCTATGTTTCATCACACGGGATGTGAAGATAACTAGATGACTTAGTTATTTAACAGGCATCCCAGAATTATATTTGCTAAACGCCATTTCTGACCCCACACCAGCATGCTGGTAGCCTGACCAAATTTCTTGCACACTAAAAATTGCCAGGTGTACCAGAATACAGGATGGGGCTATTGTAAATATTATAATAACTTTTAGGGACTATCCCGGGGAACTGAGGCCTTCGCAATTTCTTCCCCTCAAACTAACAGCAGAAAACTGTCGAGTTCACGTTCTTCTTCAGAGATAATTACAGACCAACTCACAGTCCTTTGTATTTCAATGCTAAATTAGAGATGCCATTGGGGAAGGAGCATATCCACGATCACAGCTGCAATGCAGCACCAGTTTGCAAAGCTCACACAGATTTTATGCCCCCTTTTAACTTGGCTGCAGAACTAAAATGTAATTTTTTCAACAACAGCCTCAGAACACACTCTAACCTGTTCTGAAATATGGAGCATCCAGCTACAGAAACAACACACACTTTGCACTATTAGCACTAGGAATGAAATACAGGTTGACAGAAAAATCACTTTCTGTGAAGATTTTTTCTGCTTTTTTGTTAGGCTCTTTTACCTTACTTAAGGCTTTTACAGTTTCCCTGCTCCCTTAAATTGTATTTATACAAACAAAATTAATGGATTTGACATAATGCTTACATGAATACTTGATAATGTGCACGCATGCAAGAAAAAGTAAAACTGCCCCCATTCCTCTGCTTTGCTGTTATTTAGATGAGTAGGCAACAAAAATAAATAAACAAGATTCACAGGAGTTGCAAACTGCTAAAAAACAGGTCGTGTCATTTACTGTGCATTGTTAGAGCAGCAGTGCTATATTGTCCCCTAGAGGGTATTTCTTCGTTCTTTCTCTGTGTCTTTGCAATGATTCTGAAAAAGTTCCAAATAATGCCTTTTTTATCTATCTGTAGATAAAACTACACAAGCTAATAGATCCTCTAGCCGTTAATAAGATTTTTATTTTGCTGAACTCCACTGCAGCAGCGGGGAGGCACGCGTACAGAAGAGCCCAGCATGGTGCAGGTGCAGACCCTGCCCGGGTTGCGGGTGCCCAGCCACCACCTTATCTCACGGACAAAGTGCTCATGCCCTACAAGCTGCCGTCGGATGGGCTAAGAGAATGGTATGTGCCCTGCACACCCCCAGCCTGGTACCTCTGCGCCTGAATGCATCTGCACCAACTTCTGCCCAGCCATCGCGACGCATGGTCGGCAGCCATGGATTTCCCCAGCTCTTTGGGTCACCACAAAAATGACACCTGCTGCCTGCAGGATGCACTGCCACCACATGGACTGACCGAAACACCAGCAGCCACGTTCCCATGGAGGAGAACAGGCTGAGAGTGTGGCTCACCTGTACTGTCCTCACCATGCTGGAGCTTCCCCCAGTCCAGGTCTAGGTGACAGCTCTTCTTTGCTGCAGACTACAGCCTGGCAGCCTGGGTGGCCAGCTTGCCTCCTCCTCCAGACGGCTCTGGGACTGGCCACGCTGCACGGGGACAAGCTCCCGCGGCCAGCAGTAGCCAAGCTGGTGTGGCAGCTCTGGCAAACTGGACTTGGACACAGTTAACAAACTCAGGTTTCCAAAACAGCAGCACCATCGGAGTGCTGTGCCACCCCCTCAGGCACAAGCCCGGCCTCGGGGAGAGCTCATTAGCGTGGGCAAGGAGCCACAGGCTGCGGTTACACAAAGTCCGGCTGCAGAGATAACAGGAACTATACATAGCCATACTAGGAACTGCAATCACTGTCGTGATAGCTCAAACATACCACTGGCTCCTTAACCAATCAGCGGCAGAACACCACTTTTTAAAACCAGTTTCCTAAAAACAAGATGCCTATCAGACAGTCCTTCCTGCTTTCTCCAACCTCTATTTTCAAGCCAGACTTTACAGTATCTGAACACTTCAGTGGCCCACAAGATGCCTGTGGTATGTGACCTGTGAAGGCAGAGGTAAATCACTCCTTTTAAAACATCTGCTTTGAGCAAAGACACCCCGTGAGAAAGGATTGTCTGGCTGAGCAGTGCTCAACATTTGCTGTGCTGTTTTGCAGCATTAGAATTAGCTCCCGTGCGCAGAGGGAACAAAGATCAGAGTACACAGCAGTCCAAATCCTAGACTAATTACAATCATAAGATTTGCATAGCAAACAACAGAAATTTATCCCAGAGTAAAACGGTACTGCTCCGTTAGCCTTGTTCAGCTTTCACATAGAGGAACGCTGCATACATACCGCGCGGATGTTTTCTAAGATACATTGCATGTGCAGTATGCCAGTATTGGTTCTTCTTACACAAAGGTACCGGAGGTTTTCCTGCCCTGTGGTTTGTTCTGCCAGCGCTCCTTGCTAGAAAAAGCTGAAAACCCTGTTCTACAATATAATTTATTTGGCAAAAATTCAGAGTACTCAATTAGCAAACACTTAATCCCAAGTTATTTTCCCATTATTGTGGGCCACTGCCACACATTTCCTCTGTAAAAAACATTTATGAAACAAGCCTTACGTGTCTTAAGTTTAATGGGCAAAGTGCACTCATAAAGGAGCTGAAGCTCTTAACTGATTGATAATTCATCCTATTTATACTATAGTGAAATAAAACTCATGTAATTACCAGAATTCAGAATAATTTTATTCAAATCCCATTAACTTCTGATATTTTGCCATGCTAAATTTTCTACTGACTGATTTTCACTTTTTAACTGTAATAACTGGTCCCTAGTCCAACACAAAAATAGGTGAACATTTCTTCAGTGTCTCCTTTTCTTGTCTTCTATCTCATACAACAAAACCTTTTGTTAGCAGAGAGTAACCACTGCTCAGCTCTGCATGGAAAAAAAGAAAAAATAAATAAATCAGGAAACTACACTCTGGGATGACTTTGCAATGTAATTGCTTACTTGAGCAAAGACTGCAAACTTGCATATTCACGCACCACACAGAGTATTACTTGGGAAGCAGGCATTGTATTTTCCATAACCATGCACCCAAAATAACACCCCCCCAAAAAAGAAGTGGGGGTAGGGAGGAGATTTACTTCTAAGTGCTTGAGAGGGAAACTTCCAACAGATTTCAAGCAGCGAGTTCCCACATCTTTGACACACAGAAACCCCATACCCTCACGGTTTCTACCTGCAGGACAGGCCACTGGGGCAACATGGGCTCCCCTACCAAGGCTTTGTGCTGCCAACTGCCATCCCCGAGCTTGCAGGCGAGTGGACCAGAGCCCCTGCGATGCTGGCAGAGGGGGAAGAGGGGTCCTGGTCCTGCACAGGGATGAGCAGCACCCTGCGAGTGAACCCCTGTGTCTTTTTTGGGGCCTCCTCTCCCCAGGGAGGAGAACAGTAGGTGGTTTGCAAACATTCCAGCAATCATTCTTAATATTAAACACATTTATAGGAACATTACCTCACTCTACTAAAACGTAAAACTTAAAAACTGAGTTGCTATATTTGGAGGCAGAAACAGAGAAACAAAACAGAAAACATGCCTTACTGCCACTCCATACATTCAGTCAGACCAGCAGGTCGAGCTAATTCCCTAAAACTGGGACCCGGCACTGCAGGTGAGCCCAGCCCTCAGGCATCCTGACCCAGATGCTGCTGATCTGCAGCGATGCTTTCCCTCATCTCACCTTCATCCGCCCCATGCCCCTGCCTTTGTTCCCAAGACGAAAGAAGATCTGGAGGGAGGCTACATCCTCGCGTCTCCAGCAGTGGGAGATCATCTGCCAAGGCAGCCAGCTCCTGCCTCACAGTGGTATGATCCTGTCCAGCACAGCTGTTGTTATGGAAGGATGTCTCTAGAAGGGAGGCTCAGCACTTATCTGACTGTAAAGAAATCTTCCAACGCAAAGCACGCCTGCATTTTCCTAGCAGACACAAGTTTAAGTATGTAACCTGTTCAGAACTCCAAAACTATTTGCTATACAAACATATAAATGATAACAACAACTATGATTCATTACTAGTTCGTAACACAGAGTCATCATGACGACAGTCAAGCATATCTGGGAACAGTAAGTTTTTTGCCTGGTTACCATGCAGTACTACAACAGCCACAGCCAGAAGCCAATTAACCAGATTCCTATAAAAAGTCATCCTTCCCCTAATCCCACTGAGGCTTTCTACCATGCTCTTTCATCTAGCAAATCTTAGGAGCAAAACAGTTAGAGAAGCCTCAAGAAGTGCAGCTGGGCTGTGGAATTAAGCGATGTGACTTCACACATTAGCTTCAGCAGGTTCCCACAAAGTCTCTGCAGCAGGACACCTGTGCTCTGCTGTAGCTTACAAACTTCATAGCTAGGAGGAAAAAAGTTACCTTCACTGTTTAAACACCTGAAAGGGCTGTCACTTACAGGACTTTCTTTCAAACTTAAATTAAAACAAAACAAAACAAAAAAACCCAACAAGCCAAACAGCAGGGAAAGTGAGTTTATCAAGTTTAACTTCACTTTGCAGTCAGAGCAGCTATCAAAGTTCTTGGTAGGTTCATTCATCTAGAAATGACTTGAGATCAAAGCATGGATTGATTGATTGACTGAAAGCTAATTAAAAAAATAATCTTTTTCTGGTTATTCTTGGGACTAAAACGTACGTGTCACATTTCTGGTACACCACATGGGGTTTGGTTGCTATCAGAACCATACACATAACAAGCACAGTTCAAGTGAAGTCACTTCCCATAGTCTACATGTAATAGCTTCTAATCAGCATGAACAAAGAGACTTCTCTCATTGCTGAAAGCTGAATACATTTCAAACAATCAAATTGAAAAATGCAGTTGGATTTTTCAGGGGGTTTTGTTGTGTTAGTGGTTTTTTTTTGGTTTTGTGGTTTTTTTTCCTTCTCTCCCTCTCCCTCCACTGGCTTGGCATGAAGTTATATAAAATGAGATCCAGAAACAGGGAAGGAGGTTAACAGCAAATTCACTGAAAAAACTGCTATTTGTTTAACAGAAACAGCCTCAGTCAGCATAGCCTCATCCTACAAAATGCTCAGCAAAAGCTTCCCAAGAGCCAAGCCTTCCTGTTGCACTCTACCCATCCTCCCCAAGCAGCAGCTGGTCCCGGTGCAAGGCTGTGGCTCCCAGCTGCCACACCTTCTTGCTTTAGGTTTTCACTAGCCCTGTCCAAACTGCACTGCTCCAATACTGCCGACAGCAAAACTAAAATCCCCCTGCCTACAGAAATACAGAGAGCCATCAAGACAGTCACATTCAAACTGCTCATAAGCACCCTGTGGCTCCTGGGCCACACTTTGGACCCCCTAATCTATATCTCCCACAGCAGAAGAAGCTTTAATTGGTCTCAAGAACTTTTCTTCTGGGGAGATTTTTGTCAGGCCAGTTGATTTATTTTAGTGTCAAATCTTTTAGTGGATAATGTTAATGCTACTGCTGCAATTTAACACAGTGTCATAGTTTTGACCCAGCTGAAACCAGGACACACAAACACTAGAATATTCTGTCTTCGTTCTAGGAAACAAACAAAAAAAACCCCCAAAAAACCCAAACCAAACCCAAGCACTTATGTCTTCCCAAATGGACGCATGTATGTATAAATACACATGCATGCAGCCACACACACCATATCAAGTGCACTAATACAGGCGACAATTTTATTCAGGGCAGGGTCAACACCACAGTTTCAGTTCTGATAAACAAAGTACAGCAGCAATTCTAATGACTAATGCTTAGTATTAATTAGCTGAAATATTTCCAACCCTTGCAGCATTCCCTTAAAAGGGAACCTTTTATTGGGTCTCCCTCTCCTTCACTGATCTTGGTCGTTACTGGCCACCAAGTCCAGACGTCATGTGGAAGAGACTGGTGGGGGGCTTGGTGGCAAAAGCCACCTCTCCTTAGGAAACCAGCCCAAACTGATTCTTGCTCTTCCACTTGTGACACAGCTACCAACGGGGACTTGCAGGAACTTTCCCAGCAAAGACGCTAGCGGCTGGGATGTAGTTCCAGCCCCATACTGGTAGAAAGAACCAGACAGCTAGAAACGCTTTGGAGAAGGAAATTCCTCCTGTAGGAAGCAATGAGGAAGCCTGGCATGATGGAATGAAGAGATGCTGTACTCATCCTGTGGCTGGAGAACTTGAGCTCTTTAGAGGCAGTTATCACAAAATGAAGCAAGCTACAGCTACCGGGCATAAAAGCACAGTGTAGAAACTATGGGACCCGCTTCTGTGGGCAGAAGTC